TATATATATATATTGATTGACCGCGCGAATTTCTCTTGATTAACTTTGCAAGAAACAATGATCCCCAACTATTACAATCAATGAATGCAATCTTTAATAAATATACTTATATCACATCTCTTTTGAGAGATTAATTTTTGTATATTGGCGTGATACAATTTTTTTAAAATCGATGAGTCTCTTTAAAAAACATGAAGAGTAGTTTTTACACAGGGTAGATTTTTACACAGTCACGTAAAAAAATAATTAACAAGAAATTAATTTATTTATGCAGCTGCGCGTTGCAATATGCGAGAATATTGCGATAACGATATGCCTAGATAAGAGCTAATTTTTCTCTCCTTATCAATATCCAAGGAGAGTCAAGTGAGACTCCATTGCGCCATGGTGTCATCGTTATCATCCCTCTAAAGTATCGCGTGTCCGCAGGTCGGCGTAGAAGTCGCTCATCCAGGAGTAGCCAATGATTTCGGAGATGTCGATGCGAGGAAATACTACACGTACTACCAGTGGGTCTGTTTCGTGCTGTTTTTCCAGGTAAGCAGATCCCTTTATCGGCAATCTACCACACGTGCGAGGTGACGTGCGGATCGAGTCGCGCGCGCCAGACAAGAAAGAGAATCTGCCTCCGTTCTTTGTGTTCGTCTGTCTTTCCGCTGATCCGCGCTTATCTCTTATATCTGGCGGCCGATTGCGGCCCACGTGGACCTCCCAAGCGTGGGAGGTCTTTCAGCGATACCCGTTAATAAAAATATATATAGTTTAAATTGTGACTACATTAAGTTAAAAGCGCAGTTACTAGTTAAACAGTTAAAAATTAAGTTAAAAAGTTAGTAATCTTTAATTTAACTTATTGTTAGTTAATTTTAAACGTGTTAACTTTTAACTTAAACGAGTTATTTTTAAATGCATTTACGTTAACTTATTAACTTTTTTAAGTTAAAATAATTCATCAATATTAAAGTCGTATGAAAATGGTTGATCGTGATGCGAATATTTAATTTGTTGTATAACAAGTTTGTCGGATGTGTCGATTCGCTGTTGGATAGAGAATTAACTTTTAACTTTAATTTTTAATTAATACATATATCCTGCATAGCGAGATTTCGTGGAGACCTTGATTCGATCAGTATCATGCTATTTATATAACGATTGATATTTTCTTCTCCCCCTTCAATTCACGCAACATTTATTTATTCATTTATCTTTTTATTAATTAGGCGATTTTATGCTATGTGCCGCAATGGCTGTGGAACTTATGGGAAGGTGGTCTGATGAACGCGCTGGTCATGGGAATGAATCACGGTATGGATACCAACGAAAATATCACGAAGAAGAAAAGCGCTCTCATGGATTATTTAGTACAGCACATTAGGGTAAGAATATAAATATAAATCGGACACACAATTCATCGAACAAAGCGAATTTCGGCTTGGCAGATAAGATGTTTAAAAGATATCATCATACGAAAAAAGAAGGAGCGGGAGAAACAAAAACTTAGATAACGCGTATTTTGCCATTCTCGGTGGTCGTTGATAATTAGCTGGTTTACCTTTCAATAACATCGCACGTGTCTTTGTTATCATTTAACTTATCGCCTCTCTAGAATTGTTTTCAAAGCATTCTCGGGGTTGAAATTAAATCTGCAGATAATCGTTGAATATAAATTATTTAAAAAAAAAACATAGTATATATATCATCTTCATATATATATCATCCGTATATAAAATACAAGAATAGATGGGAATTAGTTTTGTAAGATTTTTTATAAACATGAATATATAAGAAGATAACTAGTAAAGATCTGTATCGATATATTAAATACAATCTTCATTTCTGGTACGTGAAACAGGCTTAAGCTGCTGCCTCTCATATATGCATATTTACTTGATAAATAGATTATGCGAAATGTCAGTGCCGTTTAGTCGGAATGTTAGTGGAGAAGGTGAACATGTGATGAGAGAGGGGAACGACTGCGTTAAATCGTCCAATTCGTCCTCATTGAGTCCAATTTGCGTTAATTCAACGACGAATTGCTGCTTACAGAGTCACAACACGTACGTGTATCGGTACTTTGCCTGCGAGATTCTATGCCTCATCAACATATTCGGTCAGCTCTATCTGATGAATCGATTCTTCGACGGTGAGTTCTTCAGCTACGGTCTGCGAGTGCTGCAATTTTCGGACACGCCGCAGGAGGAACGTGTCGACCCCATGGTCTACGTGTTCCCACGTGTCACCAAGTGCATCTTCCACAAATATGGTGCCTCGGGCACGATACAGCAGCACGATTCCCTCTGCATACTGCCGCTAAACATCGTTAACGAGAAGGCGTACATCTTCATTTGGTTCTGGTTCTTCATACTGGCCATCATGTTGATCGGTCTCTTGGTGTACAGAGCGATGATCATTTTCGCGCCGATGATACGACCGAGGCTGCTGCACCTATCGACGAGAATGCTGCCGATCGAGACCTGCCAGAGCGTCAGCAAGAAGGTCGACCTTGGTGACTGGTGGATACTCTATGTCCTCTCGACCAACATGGATTCTCTCCTTTACAGGGATTTCCTTATGGAGTTCACGAAGAAGATGGCTAATACTACTAATTCGAAGTCCGTGAGCGCGTAAACGCGGCCTCTTAGACGCGTATTCTGACATAGTTTGCGCCCGCACGCTGATGCATAGTATACGCGTATGTATAGTACGAGAAAATTACTTAGTTTAAAACCGATAAATACGGACTGATGTTCGCACCTCGCGATGCGCACTTTTTTCTGATCGCGCGTCCCAGCAAATATTTTCGCGCCATTGCGCTAGGATAGGCACACATAGATATATGTATTTTCGTATAGTTTAGGATTACCTTCTAAAACGCGTATAGATAAGAAATATTATTATTTTTCAATCGTTTATTTGTTGAAAAATTGGAAGGGTGTTCTGAGTCATCTTGTATATAATTAATCTTTTCCAAGTTATCATTCTTTAACATTTTAGACACGTGTATCTCAACTTTTTCGCATTCAGCGGAAAATTTTATATCACGCATATCTGTATTTTGCTCAAACGAATAATTCAATTAATATATGTATGATACGCAAGTTGCTTGGAAAAGATTAATGCAATAAGATTATACTCAGTCTCGAATGAGATTTTTAGTGAATTAGTTTTATATTTAGGATATTTAGCACGTAAAGCGCGCGCGCTAAATATAAAATGGAACACAACGATCCATTCAAAGAACAGTATTTTAAAAAAATGATTCCAACGCAATATCTTGACGCATGAACAACGTAAATGGAGATTTAGTTCAATATTGTAGCACACCCGTCATGTATATAATATAATAGACACATAAAGGGTGTTTTCGTTTTAAATATTCTTTCATTATTAAAAGCAGAATGACAATACGAAAACGTTATGTGATTCATAATTAATTTTTCTTTATTTCTAAACAGAATTATGGTTTGTTTACTGTATAACATTTTTTTTCTTTGTCTTTAAGAGTTAAGATATTAAGTCTTATGATTCGAGATGAATTCCTTTGTCGATACTCTATGAGTTAATTTCATATATTAAAGGATAACTTGGGATTTTCTTTTATAAACGCATCTACACGTCTGAGGACCATTACTATTTTGCTTCATGAACGATTAATTTAATTGTGTAAAAACCATACATTTATACTATCCTCGTTCACCAGTTGCTCAAAACGTAATGACTCTCACTTCATTCCCACAGTCATGTTCGAGATTTTGGTTCGTCGATCGTGACGACCTTGGAAGAAGTGCAGCGTGTAATCTAATGGTTAACATCGGATCAAACGATTTCCGCTGCTTGTTTGCATAAAACGACCGATGAATTTGCGATTTATCGTGAGATGCATGTTACGAACTTGTGACGTTCTTAGCGAATGTTTATTTATCCGACAGTTTGTTTACCAGTGATATATGCATCACTGTTGTTCCCTATATGTCAATTATGAGAGAAGAGGCTACATTATAGAAAATTACGCAATTTGGCGCATACAAATATTCGTTGACTATAATACATGTTTCACAGTACTCTCAATTTTAATTTTAGCGATATAGTTTAGCATCGACCTTATCCACTTTGGCATCGATTTTTCCATAAGCTCACTAAATTTTTTTGATTTATTTTTATATAAAGATATAAATTTTTGTGATCTCTTGAATATTAGGCAGTTGCAAATAAAAGTGAATAAGATATATCTTTAATATTTCTAAGAAAAATCGATTGTAAGTTTGTCGTAGAACCTGTCATCTAAATTAAGGTCGAGGATTTTAGTATTACATATATAGAAAATATATGATATTATATACAGCATATCTCTATTTAAAACATATCTTTTTCTTTGTAATTGACGAAGAACGAATTATTCTCGCATTGAGCCACATCCAGGCGCATTCACGCGTGCGCGAGTTTGTATGATACTTTCGCTGCCAGACGATTGCGTCATCTTGGACCGCAAGAAAACCGCGATATGGCCTAGCACGACTGGTAATGGTGACTGTACGAAGATCGCGGTGACCAAAAGTATGCCTCTTTCGTGCGTAAAGAAGCATTTTTATTTTAATCAATTCAGAATTCATCCATCGGTCACACTTATATATGTGCATATTTTGTATCTATTAACTTATGTAAGATGTGATAAATAATGGTAACGCTCGAGAGATTAAAAAAGAGTAGAAGTCATTAAGGAAAAACAAGAAACTTTATTGCCGACTTGTTTGTTCTCGAGCATCGGTGCACTTTGTGCAAGATTTTTTTTGCCCATTTGTGTTCCACGGACAACACGTGTTGTCGAGATAAGACTTCCACTTATTGTTAGAATCGTGGATTTCGTCCCCGTTTATAACTTTTTAGAATATATATGTATGTTATATAAGCCTGATTGTATATCTATACGAGTAAAGATGTGTAAAGATTAAATTCTGAACAATTTAGACATCAGAGTTTTTTCTGCTTCCGCCGTATACGGGACAATGCGGAGATTTCAACGCCACGCTTGTCGATACGCGACCCACCGTTAAGGTCCCTACACACCGACATTCAGATCACATTTATGTGGCTAAAAATTTATAAAATAATTTCACAATGTGTGATGATTGCCCAAGTAATTTTAAATAAATTTTTGCAACGCGTCATCTTTCTATGAAGAACAGAAAACCAAATATGATTCACAATACTAATGCAAATTTTTAATTGATATATGAATCCGTTTGTTGCCTCATATTATGAAATGCAGGAACAGATATATTAAAGATAAGTTTTCATAAAATTAACAGATATTACATTGGAAATTTTGTGCATCTTTTTGATAATATTTTACGATATTTTATCTCTCTATTAAAATATAATTAAATATATTTAGTAAAATTATAGAGTACAGTTATTTTCTTTAATTGATTCATATTTTATTCAAATTTGAATTTAATGAATAAATTATGATCATCAGAATGAGTTCTTAATTCACATATAAAATCGCTATAAGAAGTTTAACAAAAAGTCATTAAAGATAAAAGCGAGACAAGTATATGCTACTAGACATTGTCAACAAGATATGGGATTGTTTCTGCATGATGCTAGATACATATATTATACATATTTCATATGGCATAAAAAATAAAGCTTTAAAACGCTTCTAGCATTTGCGATTTAAATAGACGTCGCGTAACCGCATTGAGACGATTAGATGACGCACTTTCCAGGTTTGCCTGCGAATAAATTAAACCTCAAGCAGCTGATAAGTTACGTATCACAATTATACAGATAGACTACTATATAACTAGTACGATTCTAGAACTTTTCTAGAATTCTAAAAAAAAATTATATATAATTTGAAAAAAGTTATAGCGAAAAAGTTTAGTAAATTAGTCGTAAATATCGGAAATTTTTATGTATTTTTTATATATTAAAGAATTTATAATTATAATTTAAATATATATTTCTTAAGCGAGCCAGTATTTTTTTTTCAAATATCCCAAATGAAAGTGTTGATTGTTAAAATAAAATGATATCGCAAACTTAGTTTCATCGGAGAAACATCGCCCCGATGTGCTTCTCTTCTCTTCTCTTCTCTAAAATATTATTTCGCGAAAGAGAAAATATGTTGTAGATATTTGATCGACATGTTTCACGTATCTTTCACAGAGATCCAATCAGTTTGACTTCATCATTTGACGCGTGTAATTCCAGCGCATCTGGTATAACGATTCACGCACGTTTATAATTAGTTGCGTGACAGACAAGTGACATTGTTTACATACGGTACATATGGTTTACACATGAACGATTGACGTAAGAATTATTAGTCGCACGGCACGATATCACTATCGTGATATACACATAACGCGGTAAAAAACAAGATGATCGAAATTTTCCACTGCGTACCAACCATGATGCTCTTGATGTTTTTTTTTTTTTTGTAATTATCGGTAATTAATAAACTGTGGGAAACGAGAATTCGCGAGTACAGAGTTTTCTAAAATTAAATTTGCTGCGAATTACTCGACGCATTAATTAACGCATGCGGCATAATTGATACAAAGTTGACAAAAATAATGTGCTAAATAATATAAAATTAAACAAGACCGAATGAAGCAAAATCAATTGCAGATATTTTCTCAATTTAGAGATAAATTTAATTTAGACGCTCTAACGTGTTCTTTAATTAGTTATCATTTCTGAATATAATTATTATTAAATGATTATTATTAATAATTAAATTGCAAGCTTTATTTTATCGAAAAATACATAATTCATGTATATATTTCAAAGAAGTAAACATTCATATGTATTTTTAATGCTCGTTAAAACAAAATTATGTTTTTGGTTATAGTTTCTTTATTTAATAATTCAATTTTATGTTTTTTTTAAACCTCGAATTTGTGATAATGTTGTAAAATGTTTAATTATATTTTATATCTATAATAAACTAAAAAACTTTTAGAAAATAGGATAAGAGAGAGAAAGAGAGGGAAATATATGTAAATGCAATATATATTATATACTTGTAATTAATTAACAGAGCTATATAAAAGAAAATTGATGGCTTTGTTATAGGCGCCCTCTGCTCAACATCTATTAAATGCTCGATGTCTGTGTCGGTACATGCTCTTCGATTAAAATTACCGACTATTTGATTGCACAATATCAAGAAATCTGAGAAATTTAATCATATATTTTAGAAACTATATTATTAAAAATTAAAGATTAAAGTTCCAAAAATATATTTTTTTAAAGAAAAAAACAATTGCATTTTCTCTCTCTCTCTCTCTCTTTCACTGAAATAAAAATAAAAGTTTTTATACTATATTTGTACTATAGTCATGCTACATTTTATAGAATATAAAAATAACTTTTTTTAAATTAATTAACGGCGAAATAATAATGACGAGGCATTTTCCAACATTGCAATATAACGATATCGTTCAGTCGTGAATAAATGGGCGTTTTTAGCTACATAAGAGAACTAATAAATGAATTAATTCACGAGCCAGCTGATGCATCGCGGATGCACCGCCGCTGTTGCTACATTTTTTTGCGCCAGATAATTATATAATTCGATTAATTAATCGTTTATGATTTAAAACGACGGTCTCTTCCAGTTATCCGAATATTGGATAACCGTACGGCTTAGCGTCTTGATGAATTCGTTATGACGGTTCCTCGATAATATCCCACGATATTCCCGATGCTAGTCACACGAGCAAAAAAAAAGTAGATACGAAATATTCGGTAGATTGGATTACATGCGGACAGTGCGTCAGGTTGAAGTGGCGCGAGAGATATCGGTTATTAATTTAATTAATTGCAGTCAGGCGCGTAATTGACACATCGGACATTCGATCGCTTAATTCGCGGAGCTCACTTTTGACGATGCGAGAAATGTGAAACGAAGGTATATAGTTCGAGATGTGAACCCCGATGTGCGAGACAATCTTACCTCAATCGCGTGATCGCGCTCTCCCTTCAAGTCATGCGTGTTGTATTGCAAAATATACTCTAACATATAAAATAAAACATATAAAATGCTATAATAATTATAGTGAACATGTGTTCTCAAGTATGAAATACATAAAGTTATTCTGTAATAAGGAGTAAAGACAGGCTGACGCGTTTTATTTTCCATAGAATCGCGTAAATTCAGAGCCATTACGATTGATTTGCGAGGAGAGAGACTCCCAAGTTATAATCGTCAAATTAATTCAATGCAGCGTTTTATTTAACGTAATAACGCATCGTCGTTACAATCTTATTGTTACGATTATTTTTGGCGTTTTTAGAAGCCGCGTTCGTTTGGCGTACGATAAAAAGAAGCAAAGAAAAGATAAGATGTCTATTAAAGTTAATCGACGTCGTAGTTAATCGGTCTTAAATTAGGGACGTGTACGTTATGGATACACGCAACGTAGCGGCTGCGGCGGCGGCGACGAGTCTCATCGTCTCTCTCTCCGACAAGAGACGCTCGGCGCTCGGTTCGGCGTTTCTATTCCTGGAGCGGGCCGACTCCTCGTCTCCGGCTCCCAAGCCGGAGGTGCCATGCCCCGGCTACGGGCGACGGGAGCGAGGCCAGTGCGTGCGAGTCCGTCCGCGCGGATGTCGAGCGTGTGCGCGCGGAAGTCGTTGTCGGAGATGTGCGTACGCGACGTGCGACGGAATCGAGAGCGTGGACGACGACAGGACGCCGACGACGACGAGGCCGCCGCCGACGCTGCGGCCGCACCAACCGTGGCAGGCCGTCGACGCGATTTTTCTCCGCGACTGGTCTCGGACCGTCCGTCGCTTCCGGTCCTCCAGCTCGTGGCCGCGCGCGTCGCGATCATCCGCGATTGATCTCTCATCCGGGGATCGGACGGATCGGAATGTCGGATCGTTGTTGTCGTACGGCACAATCGTCCGCGGCGTCGCGACGCGCCGCGAAGCATCTCCGGAAGCGGAAATTGCCAGGCTAAGATCGCCGTCTCGACGCGGGATAGGATCGACGAATGTGTCTTCCTCTTTCTTTCTGTCTACCTCTCTTATCGATTTTGATTGTCACTGGAGAACGTAGGTCCCCCTTCTATCGCTGATAATGAGAGAAATTTGCTCGCGCGAAATTTTATGAATAATTACGGATATCGAGATAAACTTTGTTCGCGTGAAATTATCGGGAGTTTTACACAGCAGTATATTTAGCGTACGATAAACGTTAATGTCACGTCATATCGCGGGTACAGTGAATGATAATTTAAGTTTAGGATGAAACTGTCACATCAGTTTATATCACATTGGACATGACATTTTGTTGTATTTAAGTTATGATTGATACTTGAAAAAAATTTCCTATTATTAAAGACAGTATAATTTCGATGCATTTAAATTTCGATGTTGTAAATATGCGAAAATGATCGCTCTACATTGATGACAAAGCATACTCGACGATCGGCATAAGGAACATTTTCTCCATTTACATGATTGAAAAAATGCGAATTTCTTTTTTTACACGGAAAATCATAAATTATAAATATATTTAATTTCGCTGACGATTTTACTGCCTCGGATATTTTCGGACGACTCTTGTTCGTGATGATGCATTGCTCGCGAACGCGCGTGGTGAGAGAGTGACTCGACAAGCGTGGTCTCATCTCGCTCGGATTTGTATATGTTTGGAGTATCGGTCAAAAGGCCTCGGCTCTCTTGTTCGGTGATCCCTGTGTTTGGATTATCGGTCTCCCTTTGTGAGAAATCGTGGGGGAATAATATGAAAGAGAAAGCGCGCGCGTGAAAGTGTTCACTTTTTCTATTTTCGCGTATGATTGTTTAGTAGAGTTTATGATGTATCGAGTAAACCTCGCTCTTTTATGATGACTGAAAAGCGCAGAAGGAAACGAACGCGGATCTAGAGATAGAAACACGCCGATGTTTGTGTCCCGTTGTTTTCGCTATTTGACAGAAGCGTAGCGAAGCGAGGCAATAGAGAGGGCGGATATTATAGTTTTATTTTTATTTATTTAATAGAAACGCGAGTTATACACATGGTATTTATTTAATATATTTAGAATTTTGCCCCCCCCCTCATTATAGAGATAGTTGCAAATATAAGCTCATCAATTTTGATAAATATATATATAACTCTTATATCTGGAAGAGCATTGATGAAATAAATATAAACATTTTGCATTTTTTCAAAATCTAAGCAGACTAAAAAAATTAATTTAAAAAAAAAAAAGAAAATCAATTTGCAACTAAAAGCCCCAGAAAGATTGAGGTTAGTATAATTTATTATCTATTCAGAGATAAAGTATGTATTTTTGAACTTATGTTCCAGAGAATATATATTAAATAAACCTTTTTATTAGAATAACATAACAATTATCATGAAAAAGAGAGAGACAATAAAAAAGAGAAAAAATATAAAATAATAACATATGTTTCTAAGATTATTAATTTTAGAAAAAATTTGTTTTACATAAGAAGTCGAAGCATGAATGCATTGTATTGGCTTCGGGTACAGACATACTTTCGCTACGTCTTTGCTATCTGAATTTGTAATTTATCTCCATGTTGTTGCACCCTGATGGTATACGAGCATTGTGTCTACCGAAATTTCCGAAGAATAAGGAGAAGCCATCTCCATATGAATGATAGAACAAGAAAGAATAAAGAGTCCACCGCGATCCTCCGTAGCGCGCGGACGTCTTAAGCTCCCAGTCGAATTTTCGATTCTCGTTTCTCATAGTTCGTTGAATTATATTCGATTTAAAGTGCGTTCGTGTTTTTAATCGGTAGTGATTTTTTTTTCTGCAATCGATCGCGCGCGGGTGGAGCAATATTTACAGTTTTAATTCGTCCTGTACAATAAAAAAAGAAATTTATTTGCTTCCTTTTTTTTCTCGTATATCTCCCTGACAATATCAAATTAGACATATTTCGATAACGAAAGGGGTTGTGCGTTAAAATTGAAAGATAACACGGAATAAAATACGCGGATGAAGCACGGCTTTATTTCCGCCTTTGAAACGTTGATCTCGGTCTTCGTGTTAATTTTCATGATTCTAAATGTGTCATGAACTCCATTTGTAATTGTAGATATTTTGATTCGCACGTGGTAAAGAGCAAGCACGTGACGACGGGGACCCGGACGATGGCGATCTAATCTCTTAATCGAATAACGCCTATGCTTTATTTAAACCATGCGCATATACGTTTACTACAAGCGCTAGTTAATTCACAAATTCCCCGGTTACGAGATCGTGAACGTTCTCTCTATATCGGTTTCCTCGCGATTGTCTGAGTATCACCTCTATTAACAGTGATGTATCACCTTCGTTGCTCTCTTCTCGTTTCTTCATTAATAAATATTCCAAGTGCCGTTACAACATATGTAATCTAGCATGAGTTATGCAGCTCAAGTATTAAGAATTTTCAAGTACCTCAGAGAGTACCTTGCAGTCATCATATTAAGCTCTGGATATTTTGATTACTGATTTAGTCAAATCAGTTTTTAGGCTAATATCATTTTATTTCTCTGTTATTTTATCAAATTATTTTAATAATGTATTCATTAATATTAATAAAAATCAATATAATATTTTAGATATGTAATATTCTCTTTAGAATATATTATTTTTGTGTCGAGTGCCTTTCACGGATTATATCTTAGATTTTCTGCAAAAGCTTCTTTGAATATCGCGTCGGATAAAATCTGGCGAATAATGCCGGCAAGATCCGAAGGACTTTGCACGATTACCAACGGTACTTCCCAAGGTATGCCTGCAATGGCATCTTAAAGGCTAAAAAAGTCGGAACGCGGCATAGTATCCATACTTAATTCCACTGTAAAGAACGCAGATGATAAACATTCTGGATGAGCTTGTAGAGACAAGAAGATGCAGAAGGTACTAAGATTCGATTTGCACTGCGGGGATACCCGCACACAAGTCCCACTCGCTTGCAATCGGATTAAATATTCGCGAAAACATTTTTCGATAGAAATATATACAGAGTGTCCGTCCATAAATGTCCGAGCAAATACCTCACAACTGATTGAAGTTACAAGAAAATTTAATAAGAGGAATTAGCACAGTTGTTCGTCCGCATAAAGCACATGTAACAAAATTTTTTTTACTTGTAACCTTTTCAAGTTATAAGGATCACTATTATTTTTTTT